CCTACCAACAGCCACAAGTACCGCCAGTCCAGGTTTATCAACCGGCTCTGCAGAGGCGCCCTAGCGCGTTTGTACCCCAAACTCCTCACTCCCCTGCTTACCAACCTTCGCCGGTACCGCACCCGTATGCGGCGGCTCAGCCATCTCCATATACGCCATATCAGGCAGGCCGTGTGCACGTACCGTCAGCATCGGTGTACAACCCTAACGCGCCTCGTCCAATTGAGGTTTTCCGCCTCAGTGAGGCGGCAAATGCAGCTATCCCGGAGGATATTCGTGAACAGTTTCATTGTGACGACTCCGGCCATGTGCTTTTCTTCTCTGCTCCGCCACTCGATATCGTTCCATTCCTTCAGCAAAAGCTAGGTCATTCCCTAAAATATTTGGCTGCTAAGGAGGAACGTCGGAAACTTGTTGAGCAGCGGAAACGGAAAGAAGATCTCTCGAGAGTCGAGCGAGAGGAGCGAGTCAAGCGCCTACGTGCTGATGAAGAGACAGACCTCGCTGCCCGTGTGGAGGCGTTGACCGCCAAAGCTGTTGAAGTCATGGCAAGCCATGTCGTGGCTGGCACGGAAAAGATCTACGAACATCTATACTCGAACCGAGCAGAGACAGCCAAGCAAGCGGATGCCGAGGCTCGCGCACGCAGGATCATGGCTGATCGCATCTCTCAAGAGAAGACGGCGCGGATTCAGGCTTATTCCAGCAAAGCGACCGCTGTCAGCCTTAAAGGTAGTGCTATGTATATGGACGATATTGATCCCAGGATCTAGTGCCAGGGGGTGAATTCACGTTCTCCGTCGCGTGTCATTGGTGCCTCTCAGGACCTTTTTATGAGAATAACAAGGCGACCATGTTTTGTTTGAGTTTCGGCGTTATCACGTTTTTACTTCGAAAGGCATTGTCAATACTGGGGAAAAGGGAGGGCGTGTAATGTTCAGGAGTCTGGTATGGGCAGAGCGAGAATGACAACATCGTTCGTGTATACTAGTAGCATTAAGATACTGCAATGAAAGCTGAAAGTCCAAGAAATCCCCCCACCGGCCTATGGGACCAGACATAGGACTAGGCATGCGCTTTGGGGACGCCCGAGCGTCCTCTGTTCGGGTCAGATATGTACACCAATCACTTGAGCCCGCACATCCAAGCAGTCGTTCTCGCGGGAAAGCTGGGAGATGCTGCCCGAAACACAAATCACCCGATTTCTCCGTACACAGGCGCATCATGCGCTGACTGGAGAAGAGACAAGATATCGAGTGAAACCATGGGCAGCTTAATCCCAATACCGGAATTATGGGATCGCCAAAGGAAGCAGTAAGAAAGGGGCGCTAGGACAAGTCATTGCCTCGTGAGATTCACCCAAGGAGAAGAGATCGGAGGCAGAACAAGGAGGATGTTGTAGTTGAGTCAAGATTGAACGATGCGGACCAAGAATATATACATGATAACCTCCTGGATGATGCAGGCCAATCAACCGTCGACCCGATAGGGCTGGACCTGAGTCGAATCTCCTTTCCTTCGTCCGCAGACCTTCGGAATGGCCGATAAAGATAGAACGTTCACCCAAATGAAACGACATGAGAAAAGAGAAAAGAAACGAAGAATTCTAAGAATGACAACAGTCTCAGCACTTCCTCCAACCGGGTTACAAGACACCCTGAATTAAAATGCCTGATTTGGTCATAGACCAAGTGACCGAGGTTGTGAAACAGGAAGAGTCAGATCCAGATAGTTCGCTCGACCGTTCTATGCAAAATTCCCATCAAAATGCGAAACACGATGACGAAACGACGAAAACAAGTAGGGGTAAAATCCAGGGGCATCCAGAAGACCGTTACTTTCCTTTGAATGTCGAGGTATGAACACATTTGAACTGGTGGTGCAAACTTTTTTGCTTTTTAATTTCCCAATTGTTCCTTTTTGCTCGTAAACTCCGCGCTTTAATGTTGTCATGGATGCATGTGCAAATTTGGTTCCAGATAGTCACTTTTAACAACATCATGGCTGGAAACCTGAGTTGCTTGTGGGGGTTGATGCCCCATCGTTGGATTCCGCCTTATTGGTGGCCCAAGAAGTACTGTTCCGTTTGGTGCTGTCTTCTTCCTCCATGGAGAAGACTAAATCACTTTGCTCCTCGTCGATCTTGCTCGTGCTGACAGGCGACGAGATTGTACGGTCCAAGCGGCCGTTGGAGCCTACTGCGGGGGAGTGGCGGGTCGGAGCAGGGTGAAGAGACATGCTACTCAGCTGCTGAGAGATCATGGATGTCGATGACTGCCTGCCAGGGCTCGCCACATATGGAGAGACATCGCCGGAGATCTGTCGGCTTCCGATGGGGCCCAAGCTGGGACTGGTACCTAGATTGAGGGAGGACTCACGAAGAGGCGAGCCGATGTGCGAAAAGGATGTACCATGGGAGTCTTCATCTTTCTTCTGCTGGCGTTGCTTGGCAAATAAGGCACCAAACCGTGACGGACTGGATGCGAGCGGAGAGCCGACCTTGGAGAAGCTGGTGCTGGTCATACCGAGTCCACTCAAATCGCGGTGGCTGGAACTGAGATCATGATCGGTGCGCGACAGGCGTCGGAGTTTCTCCTGAGGGGTGAGAACATCATCGTGCAGATTGATCGGCAGATAATCCTCCTCCATGGGGAAGTTGCTGTCGTCCCAGTCATCCAATGCTGTGGGTCGGGGAACACTGGCCGAAAGCATGCGCGACTTCACTGGCCTAGCAGAGTGTAAAAATCTCGGTCCTACCCCATCTTCGGGAATGCCTGGAGGGGATGACCCCATGAACGACGAGGTTTTCCTGAAGTCAGACCCATAGGCTGTGTCACGGAGATTACGAAGTACATCTGACGGACCACCCATTCTCTGCGCTGGAGGAGAGGCCAGATCCAACCCGAACTTCGATGGCACGGACGCGGCCACGGGTCCATAACGAGCGACGTGCGAAATGCCTTGACTGTCAAACGACGCGGGGAGCTGTGCGTCAAGAGCGGTCAGGTGACGGTGACTCGGAGACATAGGGAAACGCGTGTCGTCCGCTGGCGACCCATACTTCGAACCCACATCCGAGGCTAAACCTGCATCGATGGTAGGGATGGCGTCGAACGGCGGTGGGGGTGGCTGCTGCTGTTGTAGAGCACCGAACTCCTCTTGAGGCGGCAATTGCGAAGCGTAGCGAGGATCGTGATTACCCAAGCGCTGTTGGGAGAGGACCGAGTTCGTCAAGGCCGAATCTTGATTGACATATGCTTGAGGGTTGACGCGTCCTCCAAGATTGAGATGGCCTCCACCCATTCCCATACCGGGACTTGGACGATTCACCCGCCGACCATCAGGAAGGATATGCGCCAGCGCGCACTTGGCTCCGAACTTGCAGTTGCCCTAATTGTGCGGAGAATAAACCAGTCAACTGCATGCACTCGAAATCGAAGATGAGAAAGGAAGGAAATTGCTTGTATTCGCCGCTGTGAGAGGGGAAGTAGGAACAAGATGGATCCGGTTACAGGTCGTACCTTGGTGAAATATTTGCAAGGCGCATAGTCAATCGCGGCGTCTGTGGAGTGTAGGAAAGGACAAGCAGGACCGGCCTGGCAAGCTCCCTGGCGAAAGAATTTGCAGGGCACATGCTTGGTATCTGGAGAAGATAGCGACTGAAATTAGTTTATCTCTTTCTTCACCCAAGAGAGAAGTGAGGAGCGGAGCAAAAACGGTCATGGAAAGCAACAGTCCGGCAGTAACCGAAGGGCGATCGGAGAAAGGGAACAGTATGGGATTGAGGAATGGAAAACAAATAGTCCTGGACTTGACTCACTGCTCTGGTTGGGAGGACTGCGAGCAGCCATGTCGATGCCGGAGGAGGGATTGCGGGAATGGCCGTTCTGCGCAGAGGGGGCTTCGGAGGGGACAGGAAGAGGAGTACGATTTTTCATCTCACAGAGGAGAGATGGCGAATTTCGAGGACGAGAGCACTGGAAAGAAAGACTCTAAAATATGATAATCAATCTGTAAACTTTTATGGGAATTAAGAAAGAGAGTGTGAGTGAGTGATTGAGGTCACTCCCTTTGGCTGCGATGAGGCAGAACAGAAGGGAACTTAAGACCGTTGGAAAATCCGGAGGGGTTGATTTGGTCAGTAATAGTTTAGTACCTGGTATCTATCGAGTATCCAGGTAGTTGGTGGTTATCGGATAGATACTGGGCACGGGGAGATTTCCACAGGTGGGGAATATTAGATAGTACTTACATACTCGGTCGGTACTGGGTTGTATTCAAGATCATTATATTATTATATTATTATATTGTTGTTGTCACTGAGATAGGTCGATTCGAGGATATTCCAACATTAATAAGTGTATGATATTCATGGTATTTAAATGATGCTAATCAGATAGCTGATCCTCTTCATCCCTCATAACGTCTGGTTAACCCATCTCGTGACTGTCTCTCATGTAAAGAGGAAGGAAGGGTTTGCACTGCACATGATATCGAGTGATGGTAGCTATGACCATATGTACTTATATCTAGCTTGTACTAGCAACGAATGATCATCCTCAAAGGTGTCATATTACCTTCGAGGGTCTTTCTCCTGACCGAGTCTCGTGCACCATTACATAAGGATTGTATTGGATTGTGTATAATCTCACCCTTTCCCTATCCGGCGACTCGATACATCCCATCCCACCTCCCATATCATCTGATACATTTCATAACGCTCGATTTTCGTTGCTCATGCTCGACTCTCAATAAAATCAGGATCTGTCCTCTCTCCGCATGTCAATCCACACTCATCGTAACGGTCCTGCTGTACGCCGCAGGATTCAACATAGGTACTATGCATAACAAGCCTCCGAACGGACTGTAAGATCCAGTGCGCAGGAGACAATACTTCAAAGGACAATTGGAGCGGTCATTGCGCGATGAGACTATGCATCCGCATGGCTCACGGTACCTCACAGTTTCTACCTCCCTCTGATCAGATAAAACGTAGCGTTTCAATGAAGAAAGGATCCTTCAAGGCCCAGAGATTCCTGATGGACAAATTCAGCCGAAACTGTTGCAGATCGACACCGTAATGCAGCTTCAAGAGTTGGTGTACTTACCCAAAGCTCTTCTCGACTCACACTGTCCGGTACAACTTCCAAGCAATTACTCCATAGATCCCGACAGATCCTCTTACGGACACTAGCGATCTTATTCCAGCGTCTCCATTCCTGCCCCAACTTTGCTCTCTCCTCCGGAGACACCTGGATTGAATCACTTTCCTGAATCTTCTTGAGACGAGATGTAACTGCCTGCGTTCCTTGCTCAAGTTGGCCGACATCGCGTCGAAGCTCGCAGAGCAATGGCTTCGTGGAGAGCGTCGCTAACTCTGTTCGCGCCTTCTTTTCCTTGGTTTTAAATGTCGTTGCCTGTTCTTCCAGCTGCTTGATCTTTTCATCCATCGTCGCTATGGTCTCCATCGTGAGTTCGTCGGTTGCCTCTTGAACGGCATGATAAACCGTGTGTTTTCCTAAAACCCAGGTAGGGCTTAGTTAGTCTCCAAGGCACTTCGCTTGCAAGATTGTACTGAGCACCTGAGACCTGGGCTTCAATCTCCTTCTTCCGGTGTAGTTCTCGCAAGACCTTCGCTGCGTGCGCTATAGGGCCGACAGCAGTCAGAATCTTCCAGACGACCCGCCTGAAGTGAAACGCCTGTACTGACTTTTTGAGACCTTGTTATGCAAATTCGTGGAAACATCGATGGCCTGAGATGCTAGAACATTAGGGTCATTATCACCGGGCGCTCATCATCAAGAGGACGAACCGAATAAGGACGACTGGTTGTGATCGTTGAGTCAGCATTTCGAGATATATGTTGCTAAAATAGAATACTTAGACCTACTTTTGCTTCCCTAGAAGACCAGCCAGTCAGCAGCCAGAGTCAACGGTGCAATTGAAGGCGACTCTTGCGAATCAACATGACACTCACGAAGGTAATCCAGGATCAATGATGTTTCGTCATTAGCAGCTAGATATGCAAAGTAAGCGGCAGGCATACGGAGGTCCTGAATCAAATCTTGCTGGCTTACCTCCAACCGACATGTCGGCCGCTTTCGCCTTCTTCTGTGTCATGGCCACAGAGGTGGAATGGTCACTCTACTACCGGAGAAGGTCGAGACTATGGAAGAGAAGAGCGAGGGGAACCGGGGCGTTATTGTTCTGACTGAAATTCATCACTGTACAGGGTATAAACCAGCAATCACACAAGGGACACCATCGTCACGTGGAAATGCTATCCATCAACTCTTAGATATACATCCAAGTTTTGTTCCAGAGTTACAGAACAAGCATTGGTCTTGGGAAATAAAGCAGCTGCAACCGGGAAAAGAATCAACCCCCGAAGAATGAGGAGACAAGAACGCTGAACCATGGCAAAATCTTCCAGTGTGTTCGAATGGAATGGATGGCTGCCACACATACAAAACATGGGAAGATAGGGTAAAATCATTCCGAAAACCCCCCAAATGGGGAAAATGCTTTTTTCAAAGACATCAAGAAAAGGACCGACTCGGAGTCCAAAGAGAGGTTGAGACAAACAATCGGTGAAGGCCATTCACTACATCAGGGCCTCTCCTACGCCGCCTTTACTCGCTCTGTTTGGGACAATGGCTGTATCAAATGGGGTTCTTCCATGAAGACATAAGGTAGAGAATCGATGAGCAGAATCATTCGGCAAGGGTATCACATGATGATCTAAGGCAAAGGTTAGCTTCGCAGATCCGATGCAAACGATCCGGAAAAGAATCAAAAACTTACGCAATCACTGTCCTTTTGGGCAGTAGGGACTCCCATTTCTTCGAATGTCTTCGGACCTTTGCCGGGGAGACCCCCTGCGGAGGCCTTGGAAGGTTGTGTTGTGGGCTTTTGGCTTGCTGCGCCTGCGGGGGTTCCGGAGGGTTTGGGAGTCGACGTTCTTGACGACTGAGGGAACGACGCAGCAGAAGGTGAGGCTTGCGGCCGGGGCGATCCCATCGAGCTACCCTGGGAGTGAGGGGAGACAGCAGTTCGCGCAGGCTTCCGGTCCGGGGGTGCACCATCAAGCCGCTGAGGGCGTCTCCGAGCATCAGCGTTCGGAGGCTGATCAAGTGGCGCTGAGTAACCGATATCGAGTTTGGGTGTTCCCGATGGGCTATGCACACCTGTCGGACTCATCGGTCCAACCGATGGCGGCGCCCCCGGCCCCGGGTTACGGTAATTCTGAGGACCTGGGCCGTAAGACGCGGCTCGGTTGTAGTTGGGCGCATTCGCGCGGATATTGGGGTTGATCCCAAAAGCCGAGCTGGGGCGCGGGTCGGCCATTGAGTAGCCCTGTGGATAAACGGGCCGGGAACGGGACCCTGGTCTGTCGGGGTAAGGCGCGGCGGAGTGTCCAGTGTCTGAGAGACTCATCCTGGATGGATCGGGCATTTCGAGGTTCTCTTGCGTTGATTCTAGAGAACTCTCACGCTGGTGCGACCCGTATCGCGACTTGATGCGGGCAATCGCGACATTCTCGTGATCCTTCCTCGACAGTGTCTTTGACCGCGAGATGCTGTCGATCCGATTTGTAGCGTCTTTATTCCCATTCGCTGCTGCCTTGGCATACCAGCTCCTGGCTTCCTTGAGGTCGACATCGACGTAAATGCCAACCTCGTAGAAATACCCTAGCGCAAATTCAGCGGTCGGGAATCCACTGAGCGCAGCACGATGAGCAAATTTGAAGGCCAACTCGTCGTTCTTCTCGAAAACGCCCTCATGGCCGCAGAGAAACCATTTGCTAATCGCCATCTCCGCTTCCGGCTCCCCTTGACGCGCAGCCAGCGCGTTGTAATGTAAGGATAGTGCAGGGTTGAAGTCGCAGCCGAGTTGACCCAGTTCATAGGCGGCGCCCATCTTAACCTGAGCTTTGGCAAATCCGTGATACGCGGCCTTTTCAATGTTGACACGAGCAGCGTTAAGATCCAGGGGAAGGTAGCTTTCTGGTACATTGACCTGCGGGAGTTCCCGTGCCAAGAGCATACCATAAACCTGTCGAACGTCATGTCAGACCCAAAGCGTTGAGAGCGTGAATGAGAAGAACGTCACGTACATACGCACCCTGGGGTGCATTCTCGTCGCAGGACTGTGCAGCAAGGCTGATATAATCCAAGCCCATCTGGTAATCCTGCCGCTGACCATGCTGGCCGAGGAGGATCATCATGCCCAAACGCTGCCGGCCGTGGCATTAGCAAGGAGCTCATTTGTGACGGAAAAGTTGCCCTGAACATACATAGTAAGAAGCGGAGTCAGCAAGGGCGACTCCCTTTTCGTAGTGTTTGATAGCCTTCTCCGGTTCTCCAGAACTCTCAAACTGCATTCCGATACGATACTCCGCCCGAGCATATCCTCTGTCCGCAGCTCTTGTATAGGCGCGAAAAGCTGCCTTCTTGTCCACGCGATGTCCGAATTTCCCGAACTCTAGCCACATGCCTCTGATGAAATCGGCCTTGGGGTGGTATTGATCCGCCAAGAAGTTCACAATGTTCATCGCATCAAGCTTCAACTGACGCTCCACAGGAGGAGTCTGCGGCCTGGGAGGCTGAATCAAGGAGAGACGAGCCTCGTTTTGCACCGCGACCTCAACGTAGGCGAGAGCGTCCTGAGCCCAGGCCAACTGCATCTCCGGGTCGTTGGACGACAGAACAGCGATTCGAGCTCTCTCCAAACTGGCTTCTCTTTGCTCGTCGGTAGGGGGTACATTTGGCGGGGGATTTCTCAGGACAGGGAAAGAAGAAACGGTAGAAGATCCCATGTCGTAGACCGCGGAGTGCTCATGATGGGCGACATCGTAACCCGCGCCAGGTGGCGGCTGTCCCTGCGCGACCGCGACGGATGAAGACCGCTCAGGGAAACGTGAGCGATCATGCTGGACTGGAGCATATTGGCCGTGGTGGGGGATCCGCGCTTCGTGCTCGAGGTGGGCTATATTGTCCTGCATGTTTTCTGGAACTTCCGGCATGACCCTGTTGAAATCGAGTGCATCGGGTCAGCAACGCGTACCATCGGTGTTGTTAGACGCTACCAATCGGGTGGGGGAGTCCCCTGAAATATGCAATTTGCAGTCGCACCTTTGAGGAGAGGGGGATATGACTTCTGGCATGTAAAAGTCATCCTGGCCCCCTGGATACCATGTAGCGCCGAGACGTGGCTGACCACGGCCTTGCGGAGGTCTATTCATTGTCCAGATAATAGCCCCTTCTCCTTTGTTTTCCTGTTCTTCAATCTTTTCCAGACGTTGCCGAGAAGAGTACGGATCAGATGTGACACGGAAACACGATTCTTTAGGCGCTCCTTAATTTTTTCTTCCCTTCCAATCGAAGGCTCACGGATTAAAAATAGAACACAAGAGGAAATAAGATCGAAGGGAGATCAGTCTGACTCCACGGGACGCGCAGGGTAAAGTGTAGAGATCAAGCGCATCATCCGAAAAGCCGCGAAACAAAACTCATACCATAAGACCACGACAGGCCTTCTAATAATGAGTGACGGAGAACAACTAGAAACAGAGAAACGATATGACCATAGTAAGGATGATATTGAGCGCAAAAGAAGAAGTATCCCTGGGATGAGACCGGAGTAAACTGTAGATAGACCCCAAAAGCCAGTAATGAGAAGCGGGGTCCGTGGGAGTGGATGTGGAATTTGACTAGGTAAGGTAGCTGCCTATGAAAGTAAATATTACCGTACCAAGCAACTATTAGATGCTAACGTAGGTACTGCGAGTAGGCTCCTATAAATACTCCAGAGTAGATAGTTACTTCTATATACAACTACCAAGGCGGACAGTCGTTAAGAGTAAGGTAGGGGCTGCAGTCAAAGATCTTAAAAGGTGATAAAGAGAGAGATGCGTCTTACAGGATCCTTTGATGACAGCCATGACAGTACGGGCTACCAAACAATTCTATCATCATCCATATGTCTACGGATACAGATAAGTACCATGCTGGTTGTCAAAGAGAAGGAGATTTCTCATTTAATTTGAGTACCCTCCAACATTCTTTCTTTGAAGGCATGTCTAATTCAATTCAGGTAAGGTATTCAGGTACAATCCACCTTAAGGGCGGATTTCGAATCAGACTGAATGAATGAGCTTGGGGGGGCATTGTATAACGCATGGTGCCAAGAGTTATCGTTGTTACTGTTAAACTAGATAGGGAGTATTTATTAGACAAGGTTAAAGACTGAGAGTATCCACTGTTATTTTAGAAACAGTGGCTTTGACCCTTGATAAGGTTGATGCCTACCTATGTACTGCATAGGTATAACCTGACTCAGGTAACTTACAAGTTATGGATTCGCATTTTACTCCCTGGATTGCAGCGAATGATAGCAGGCTGCATGCATACCTCTAAGGATCATATTCAAACGGTTCAAAGTAAATGTCTCTGATCTAGTTTGATTGGGCTTCCATATACCGGAGCTACCGTCTATCGGCAATTAAAGTTGTCCTCTATTTTATTTGGCTGCAGTAGCAGCAGGATGAACAAAATCTATTTTGAACTGCTTAAGTTCGGTTCATCTTTTCAGCTAGTAATAGACGCTCGTTCATTTATAATGTCAGATTTCCTACAGCAATGTCCACAGTTAATTGCAACTATCATTACATTTTTATTCCTATAAACTATCCATTGTTGGTCATCACACTGCTCACAGAAAGTTGCTTGTCCAAATAAGGTAAAAAAAGACAAATAGATCTACCTTGAACCTGATTGGTCAATGGATTTATTCCAAATCCTTCTCAGTCTGTCAAGGTTCTACTATTCCAGCCAAGGTACCTTATTGTTTTGTATCCAAGGAACGTTGTAGTTACCAACAACCTACCTTACTTTAGGTGGTTATCTATTGCTTCTTGTTCGCGGCAGCGCCGCGTCCCCGTCAGATATCGAGGTCCTTCATCGAAACATGGTGCAGAGCCTGACGGCGTCAATGCCCTCATAAATTAGTAACCTAAGGTCAACCGGTGAAGCGAGTAACTGGAGGTATCTTGAGCATCATGGGGTCTCAACCACAAAACTTCAACCATCCTTACTCCCCATATGACATACAACTCCAGT